CTCTAAAATAGTATTTATCAATGGGATGGAGGTGACTATCTTACCCTTTATTGCACATTGTTTAAATTGTTTAAGTGTTTATGCCTTCTTCAAAAGGGAACTTCTTCATCATCTTAGATTCCTCCAGCTTTGTTTTGTTTAGCTACCTAGTTTTACATGTTAACTCTTTTTTTTAATTTTTTTTTAATTTTTAAAAATATTTTATTTATTTATTTGGCAAGGAGAAAGAGTACAAGCAGGGAGAGCAGCAGGCAGGGGAAGAAGGAGAAGCTGAGCAGAGAGCCCCCAGTGGGGCTCCATCCTAGGACCCGATATCATGATCTGAGCCAAAGGATGACACTTAACCCAGGCATCCCTACACATTAACTCTTTAAATAAACCTATAACCATTATTCCCTTTTTATCCTTGCTGCCCTGCCCTCATTGGCCCTGAGGACATGTTGACCCTTTAAGGGATCAGCACTTGCTCCTAGCCCTTCTCCCTTCTCCTCCTCTGACTAGAGAGCTGGCAACTCTAGGTCCCAGCCCACTGAAGCCACATGACACTGCCCTGATGACTACAGCATTAGCAGAAATCTACTGGAGAATTCTAGGGACAGCCTGCTCTTCTGAAGGTGGAAGAGCATAGCTTCAACTGTGCATATTTTAGCTTGTTAGTTTCCTGTCACTTACAACCTAACACATGGCTCACTAATATCTTGCCTACCTGCCTCCTTCCTGTTCTAGTCTTCTATAATCTGCTTTGCCTTACAATTTTGTGTAAGGGTGAAGAAAGAGAAGACCGGAAAAGAATACAAAATAAATAAACATTGACAATAAATGCAAAGGACAGCTGACATGTGAAAGCAGTGTTGAAGATGGAAAAATTATTTTAAAAAGTATGAAAAACAATTTAAGAGTAATCTAAGTCACTTAGTAAAGGCTTGAAAAATTCCTACACACACCAACAGTTCCTTAGGGCACCAGGATGAACACCACAGTATAGGGTAGCAACGAGGCTCTCCCAAAGTTTTCATTTAGCATTCAGTCTCTAGTGGGTACACCAGTGAGCCAAACACACAAGATGTCACTGCCATGGAGCTTAGAGTTGAACTGGGAAGCAAATACATGAACAAAATAATTACACAAGCAAACAAAATCTGTGCTATGGAAAGTCAAATTCAAGTATGGCTCAGTCAGTAGAGCATGCAACTCTTCATCTCAGATTTGTGAGTTCTAGACCCACATTGAGCATAGAGCCTCCACCCACGCCCCCCCCCCCTAAAAGAATGGTCTTGATAAAGGAGAACCTGGTCTATTTACTAGTGGAGCAGATGGCTGGCAAGGAAAACTTCCTTAAGAAAACTGACCTATGCACTAGCTTGGAGGATGAGCCTGCTTGTTAGAGAAACAAAGGGAGGAGGGGCAGGGAAGAAAGGAAGAGCTTTTGGAGTGGAGGGACACTACATCCAAAGCCCCCGAAGAATGAGGGCAAACACTGATTCTGAGAAACACAAGGAAGGTCATGGTGTGTGTGTTTGTTCCAACTCACCAAGAAAAGGAAAAATTATTTTCATATATTCTGCTTAAGAAGAAAACCAAGGAGTTTTTGCACTAAGTCATTCCATAGAGATACATAAGCATTTACTAAGTACCATGCACTATACTAGGTTCTGGGATATAAATATGAGTAGGATACATTCTGTGCCTTTAGGGACTTCCAACAAATAATAAAGAAACTAAACAATTGCAGTTGCTTATAATGAGCACTTTGGTGTAGGTGTGGCCAAAGGCTGTGGGGACAACAACAAAATGATTAATTCATTCAGAGGCTCAATTACCTAGAAAATTAATCTATGTTCTGTACATCATTACCAAATGATACTGAATAAAAGAAATATGACTGAGTCTAATCATGAAACGAACCACAAAATCTAAATTCTGACAGATATCAAAAGGTAATGGAATTGTTTAAAAGACTTTGAAGTACACAACCCTACTTTAACAACCTCTCTAGGCTTGGGCAACCATTCAAATAACCAGATTTGTGCATAAAGAAATTTTAGGATATGTGTTTGAGGCAAAGATAAATAAAGGAAACACTGAATTAGACCTCATCAGGATCAGATAGAGAAGTAGAAAAGGCCAACATAACATTAAAATTCTTTTGTTGAGATCCAATGAAAAGACTTGTACTTGAGTTAATGGCAAACATTAAAATCTGCCTTTTCATTCACTTAGTTTATATGATTATCAATAAACAAAATCCAGAGACTTGGGCCTTTGCATTAGTTCTGCCAATAATCAGCTGTGTGAAAGCAGAATCACGTGGTTTCTCTGAATCTCAGTCTCCGTATTATGAAATAGAATAATTTCATCATTTGCATCTGATGATTGCAAAACAGTCTTCCAGAAAAACTAGACACCACTCTTTTATTTTCACTGACTTCAATACTGGCTAACTACAAGAGCTCAGGAGAATGCAGAGCCATTTTACCAATTATTTGCCAGGCTGGAAAGCACAGATTTTACAAATAATACTTTGAATTTAGCCGAGATAAATTAGCAAATGTATAATGCCTGATCATTATAAGGCTACATGAAGCCAAAGAGTGGCTATGGAGTCCAGTAAAGACTAGATGGTCTCACTAACTAGGAAACATGTACATTCAATCAGGTAAAACCCTTCTAATGATATCTATGGCCCTTCTCTTGGATAAAGGAAATCAAAAGAAAAAAATCACCCAAATATAATGTCAGATATCATTGTACATTATTATGAAGGTAAATGAAATATGTGTATGCTACTTCTATTGTAGGACATACTTTTTCCCATCTCAGTCATTTTTGCTAAAGTGTTTGATAAAGTTGCTTAAAGTGAATAGGGAGTTACAATATATGATCCAAAGAGGAATCTGCTAATTTAAAACAAACAAACAAAAAAATTGGAATATGGTTTTGTCATCAGATCCAAAAAATGACACAGTAATTATATGCAGTGCTACACAATAATTCTAAGCATAATTGCAGTATAATTTTTGTGACATGCACTTTCTCCATCATAATTGTTATGTTTAGATCACGTCACCTTGTTTTTAAAGTTCTCTTCTATTTCCTTAAGGTGCAGGCTTTTCAAATATGTAGAGTCATTTAAAATATATGTACCCCCCAATACCTATCTCATCACAGGACCTGAACATATGAGTATCAACAGAAATCCTAATATTTATGCAAATACCTAATGTTGTGGAAAGTCAACCCTGTACAATTTCTTAGTCCATTTTACAAAAATAAGAATGTCAGGGGAATACTTATTTTGCAACTTTTTGTAATACAAAATGATTTCTCCTACTCTTTGCTATGCCATCTTTCTCTTATCTATGAGAAGGTCCATGTCACACAGGATGCAAAGGGCTTTGAGAAATGGGAACTGCCTTGTGCAGTTTTCAATGGGAAAGAGCATCCACACAGCAAGTTCTCAAGGCCAAAAGGCACAGGCATTTTAAGCACAAGCAACTTTGATGGATAAGCATGGCTGTGTGTCAGTGCACCTCTTTTCCTATCCAGACCCCACATCCACTACATAAAATGTCATGTTAATCATGTGATCTAAGCAGATGGTATATCTTTTGAAGAACTTAAAATATAAGGTATAGAAATACATATTTTTATAGAAAATTTAAAAAATGATATATGCCGTAAAGATTTGTTAAGATTTGGGATGGTTAATCTTATGTGTTAATTTGGTTAAACCTACTCATAATGGGGGTGGGCCTCATCCAATCAGCTGAAGGCATTAAGAATAAAGACTGAAGTCTCCTTAAAGACATTCTACCAGAGTTTCCACCCTTAAGAGTCAAGACTGCAATGGCAACTCCTATCCAGTCTACAGGCTTGCCTTACAGATTGTAGACTTGCCAGCCTCCACAATGGCATAAGACAATTCCTTAAAATCTCTCCATCAATCCATTAATCCATCCATCCATCAATCAATCATCCTCACTCCCCAACCTTCATCCCCACCTGTATACCTCCTACTGGTTCTCTGGAGAATACTGACTAAACAAGTCTATCCAGAACATTCAACATATTACTTATTATCTTCTAAAAAACAAATATTTTTGTTCCTGTTTATGACATTGGTAAATTCTGAAGCAACTCTTAGTTTTAAGATTATGATAAACACTCTTTATTAAAAATGTCATGAAACCAGCTAAGAATAAAGCTGACATATTGAGCTTAAGTACTTTCTCTAAAACTAGATTTAAGCATATATTATCTATTTTTTGTACAAACTAAATTTGTGTACTTTCTATAGAACAAATAGTATGAAAAGACAAAAGAAACTAGGTAATTATGACTCTCAGTTAATGATATTTGACTGTTCTTCTCCAAGTTATCACATATGACAAAGTTCAGTCATTTCATAGGAAAACAGTAACATAATCATATTTGTATGTGCAAGAGCTGCAAAAACAATGTTGTAAAAGTAGGGTATATATTATGATTACTTGTTGTTGTAAAACTAGTTTCAGGTCAGTTCTTCCTAGTATCATTATTTCCACATCATAAAACACACTTAAAAATATCTTTATAAGTAGCAAGTAAATTACAATGGCTTTACTTTTATTTATATATTTTTAAAGATTTTTATTTATTTATTTGGCAGAGAAAGAGAGAAAGCATAAGCAGCGGAAGTGGCCAGCAGAGGGAGAGGGAGAAGCAGGCTCCCCACTAAGCAAGGAGTCTGTTGGGGGGTTTGATCCCAAGACCCTGGGATCATGACCTGAGTTGAATGCAGATACTTAACCAACTGAGCCACCCAGGTGCCCTACAATGGCTTTACTTTAAAACCTAAATTATATTCAATTAGAATTATAAATGGTATATTATAAAGGCCTCCTATTATTTTATATATAACAGATTGATACCAGAGAAAATATTGAAATGATATATGTTAATTTTTTTTTTTCAAAAAAACAAGTCCCTCTCAGAGGCATTCGGTGGACAGAGGTACTTACTAATAGCAGAATCATAGGAGGTTGAGTTGTGCTCTCCCCTCATAAAGGGATATGGCGACAGGTAAGCATGTGCGCAGTTCTTGGATGCTGGCTGATTGGCTAGAAAGGAGACCAAACAGAGGTAGTTGTTATTGAGAAAATGAGAGAAGACCTGTTCCTAACACAAGAGAAATGTGGGATCTGGGGCACACAAGCTAAACAAACTGCAGGTTAGATCAATAAGTTCAGAGAACAGTTGAATGAGGGGGAAAAAAACTCCCATTAAGCAGCTCAGGGGACCTGGAAAGTGGATTCATCTAAAATATCTAGCTCATGACATAGTTCAGTGCAGAGAATGCCCCTAATATCACCTTAAAATTAAAGACACTACACTTCATTTATTTTCAAAAACATATTCTCTAGTTCCTAATTTGATGTTTAGTGCACAGTAAGTATTCAAAAAGTAATTGTTTTAAAAATCTAATAAATTTAGATTTAACCTTGATCAGTTCTGAATAATATAAAAAGTATTCTATATTCTATTTTTAGGGAAAAGATGGAAATGATAGGTCATACAAGTTAATAATCCAAATGCATTTTTAGTATTTGGAAAAAATACAAGAAAAACTTTTATGTTGTTTGAAAACTTGAAGATTTCATTGCGTACTCTATAAGGAGTGAAAATCTTCCTTCCTCTAATCCTTGGAAAAGTCTTCCTCTTGGATAGTCTGATTTATTCTATCAGTCTAAATAGTTTTCATTGGAAGACACTTTTTCTCTTCCCCAAAATGTCTGTAAGAAAGCCTGTCAACTATTTCTTGCAAAATTTCATCTCATTATTACTTGGTTCCTTTTACGCATGCCTACTTGCTGTCAGCTTGCTTGTCTTCCAAGATCTCATATTTTTATTATGTATTCTTTATTATATATATAAATGCCATATTTTGATAAATCACAGGAGTATATACCATATTTTGATATATCGCAGGAGTATATGATAAGGAGACTAATAATTTCAGCCTACAATAACCTTTGGGGTAAGATAAAAGCTAGTTATTTTCAAAGATTAATATAATATAGGAAATACAGTGAAAAGAATGTATCATATTTTTAAGAGGCTTTTCTACTTCAAAAGAGAACTTTCAAGTTTCTATGAGAGAATGCAAACATCAAAAGCCAGGCATTTCTTCATATTGTCAACAAACTTGGTTAAAGCCCAAACAGAGTGAGCTTTCATCCACTGCGGCTGGTAATTAAGTTTTATTATTTAAAAAGATTTTTTTTAACTTTGAAGTCATGAATATAAAATAACACATCTCTATTTCTAAATTTTAAAATTTGACGTTTTGAGGGATAACCAAAAAATATATATATATATATATATATACATATATATATATATTTGCAACATAGCAATAATAGACATTTGAGAAAAATTCTATAGGTAATATCAAGAGGTTTTGTTTTTTGTTGTTTTTATTAAAGTTAGGGTATTTTAAATCAGAACAAGAAAACAGCATATAATTCAGTTTTGCCATAAATATTCAGACTCTTACTTTAGGTTAGAAAATAATTATTCATGTAGCCATTTCTACCTACTGAAAAGAACCACTTCATGAGTCTTTTGAAGATGTCCTATCAAGATTCTATAGTTAAGAATCCAATCCTGTCTTGTAAATGATCTGTACTAAATAAGAAGCTGTTCATTCTTATTTTAATGACAAGAGGGAAAATAAAGCTAAATTGTACTTACTGTACCAGAACTTCCAGATACTGGAATCATTCTCTTCCACAATCCCATTAAACCAACATCTCCAGAAGAATCCTTCATGGTGGAAAGTGATGTTCTCTATCTACACAGAAGACAAATGAAGTAACTTGCCATCAACACAAAGTACATTACTTAAGTTACCATATCCAGGAAAATGTTAAAGCAATGTATTTTATCCCAAATAGTAATGGTCAGTAGCTTTCTACCTATCTCTTCTGTGAAGAAATAGGCACTCCACGACTACTCTCTGATTTCAAGAGGAAGGCTATCCTCATCTCTACCAAGTACATCAGTATTTGGAAGAAGAAACGCACATTCTGTTCACCTGAACACTTCCCCACTTCAGTTGCAAGAAGCCAATAATCCGATCCAAAGGCCACCAAAAAGAGTAAAACCCCCAAAGCACCAAAGAGAGCCCCAAAGAAGATGGCAATATTTAGTCTCATTTTCAAGGCACTGGTTTCCCTTTAAATAAAATAAGAAATTTAAAAATGGCAGACACTTAGCTTCTCAATTAAAAAAAGAAAACAAAAGAAAAGAAGAAGAAAGATTTTTTGAGTAAGCAGGATCTTCTTGAGAAACCTCTCCTAGCTCATGTTGTGGTGGCTTCTCACTTACACCCCGTGGGTGGATTTGTGTTCCCTTTGCTCTCCCCTGGAGGGACTCCAGCCCAGCAGCTGAGAATGGCCAGCTATTTTAGGATACTGACTGAGGAGCTGTCTCTCTCCCATGGGGATCAAAAAATAGCTGACCTTCCCTTGACTGTAGAGAGGAGTATCAGGAGCTGGTTAGAATGACCATTATTGCTGTTGGGTGATCCATAGAAGTGGAAAGACGATGCAGTGGTATGAAGTCATTGGCAGTATTGGCCCACCATCTTAAGTGTCTGAACAAGCCTCTCTTAGTCTAGAATGACCATTACAACCCCAAAGCCAAAGACACTTAAGACTCTCTTTGAAGATAGATAAATAACAGCTATAAGAAACCACAAAAAGCTCTCTTGAGTACAAGTGAAGTTGTAATTAATTTCTTAATTCCTTTTCGATACTTTTGGGATACAAAATAATCTGTGTAGTCTAATTGAATATGTAACACAAAGTAGAGTCTAGATTTATAAACTAGACAGATGTATACTTAAAAGATCAATAATAAAGTAACAAACTAAAGTATAAAAAAGTACTTTCAGGCCACATATGTTTTTATGTAAAAACAGCATTTTCTACCACAGCTCCCAGATCTTGTACAAGTCGCTTAAATAACCGTCCCCAACGTGGACAGGTTTAAAAAAAAATTCTCAAAATACATTGTTTTATGGATTAAGATGAAAGAAGCTAGTCTGCCCTTTCTTTTGTTCCCTTCGTTTTAAACAGCTGATTTCCTCATGTGTCATATTTGATTCTTATACAGACCACCTAATGAATCAATACTTTCTTCATACTTTGTCTTCTACAGTTGTTTTTTCATGTCTGAATATGTCAGACAGTATGTTTAAGTATTGGTGTAGCATTTTAAAATTTGTACTATCTCTATGGCTACTGGTTTTGTTTTTTGTTTTTTTTTTTTTTAATATATATTCTCAACAATAACATGAGTTACTGCATCTTCTGAAGAGGCATCAGCTCTACCAACTTCCTTCACCAATTCTTCTGCTGGTCTGGGACAAATCCTTAAATATGGATTTGGCGAAGGCAAGAAATGACTCTTCAGTAAAGATGTAAGGCCTTGGCTAGTTCCAACTAAACACAGTGGAGGGGCCCAAAGGTCACGAATGGAATTCTAAGTCACAGAATTGGTGGATGTGAGGGTTAAATGGAATTTAACAGTCCACCTTAGCTGTCCTAATGTTCAAATCTCTTTTGTAAGACCCCCATGACATCAAGTCATGCCATTTCTAGCTTGCTGTATTGAAGGACATCATTAATGTTCATACAACCCAGCCTTAATTTCTGCCAAAATCTGTTTCCCTAAAGTTTCCAAGATTAATCCTATTCAGTCCTCTGAGATTGCACAGCACAAGCGTACAATCCTGTCATGCCACAGAATTTTCTGATATTTTGAAGAAGCGGTCATTTCATGCCTCCTCAAACCACTACTGCCACTGGACCCCTACATCTAGGTCTTGTCTTTTCTAAGCTAAACTTCCTATTCCTTTAAATATCCCTTAGACTGGCACAACTCCAAATCTCCTTACTGTTCTGGTTCTTTGCTACAATTTTCAAGTATTCAGTTTAAGTGAGGCATAGTAAAATATTCTGCATAGAGTTTAACACCTTATTACTATCACCTTTCTGATTTGGAGGCTATGATATGCAGAGTAATGGTCTCCCCAAAATGGCCACACCCTAGTCCTAACTGTAATCACATAATCTGTGAATAGGTTACTCTTTATGGCAGTATCTTGGATGATACAGGTAGATCCAATCTAACCATGTCAATCTTTAAAAGAAAAGTAGAGAATCTCTTCTAACAGAATGGTCAAAGAAAGAAATGTGACAAGAAAAAGGGTCAGAAAGTTCCCAGTTTGAAGGGGCCACAAGCCAAGTAATGTGGATGGCTTCTAGTTCCTGGAAGAGGAAAAGAACACAGATTCTCTTGAAAGCCTCTCTGAAAAAAAAAACAAAGCATTACCAACACCTTGATTTTGGGGTTTGCTGACCTCTGGGACTGTAATCACAATAAATTTGTATTGTTACAAGCCACTAGCTTTTTATCAATTTGTTACAGCAACAGTGACAAACGAATACAGATGCTATTCCATAATTAATGCAATATCAGATCAAATTAAGGGGTTTGGGGGGGGGTTGAAGAGGAAATACTCCTGAAGAAGTGCTTATTGAGAACTTGTGAGGGTCCAGGCATTTTGCAAGACATTAAAGTTATAGTACACAGGCCCTGACCTGGAAGAGTTCATGTCCCAGTGGGAAAAAATGATTCATTAGAATGAAGCACACAGAGATTGTAATAATGAGCTTCTGGCTGACCTAGACACATTCTCCTGCTCCCCACCTACCCTTCTCCCAACACTGGTGTGGCTGTGTGGTTGTGGTTGTGGTTATAGGCACCGACACTGTTCTTTGGAGAAGAGGAGGGATTTTTTCAGGAAGGTTTTATTTTATTTAATCACAAAGGTTTATAAGTAAAGATCCATGCATTATCACTAAATCTTTAACACACAAATTCACAAACATACAAACAATTAGATTTTTAAAATAAGCAGAAAGGAACATAGAATTTTGTTATTATTATAATTCATCTCAATTTTGGTCTTTGTCATGCACAAAAAATAATCTTTCTGACTAGGTCTGTCAATGAATAACATTTTCTTACCATTTATGGTTTATCCAAAAATTGTATAAACCTCGTTACAAAAATATGTTTATTAAGTCATTTATTAAATAACCAATCTAATTAATTCCACCACTCGTTTGTACACATTAATTTGATAACACAGAGTAGTTCTGACATCATGAAACCGAACTCCTTTAGCTCCATTATCCCCAGTGCTTATCACAGTGCTTGACACACAACAGACACTAAATAAATAAATAAATAAATAAAATCAATTTGTATTAGGACTTTTGGCTGAGATGCAAATACATGACCTTCTGAGCTATCCAACTGGCAATCCATCCCAGAAGAAATGGCCCTGGTTTGGCATGGCCCATTCTTTGTGAAACTTGGAAGAATTGATTTGGCGGGCGGGGGGGTGGTGTGTGTGCTTCCTCTGCAGATGCTCACACACCACCTTTTTGAGAAGCCCCATCAGACTCCGAGAAATGAAATGGAATTTACCATCCAAGGGTCAAAAAGTGTCTCTCTTTTTTAGAAAACCAGACCCTTCGCCTGTCATTTGCAACTCCTCTAATTTTGCACGATTCCTAAAATATTTCTAACAGCTATTCAGCATCTCTTCCTCAGATTCTCTCAACAGCCTGAACAATTACCCACGCACCAGGAAGATGGCTAAAAAGCTGCTGGGTTCTTATCATCTGTATGGATTTGAGCAGAGGGTCTCTTTATCCCTTCACACTCCTTTCTAGTGAAAGGCCATGAGATGAGGAGAGACAGACATACTGAGGCACCAACCTCAACTCATAATAATCCCGTAATAAAGCATCTCCATTGCCTATCCTTTCTGTGAATATTGAATCTATTTTTATGTTGATATGATTATCACACTGAGTCTGCAAGGCCACAAGCATAAGCATGTGGGAGAGCTTGACTGTCAAATATGCGAAGCTGATATTCATGAGCATCTACCAAGTGGCAGACACAAACCTAAGCACATTAAATATCTTGACTATGAGTTAGTCTTCAATAGGCAAATACGAAATAACCACTTTCTCTGTGGGCATTCACGCTCTTGGGCAAGGATCTTAGCATCTCAAAGTGTTCTTGGTGGCAGGAAATAAAGATGCTCTCGTTCACATGAACATGGCCAGAGGTAAGCCAAAAGAGATCTGCATGCAGTCTCACCACCAAAGGCAATTCACAATAATTCATGGGTGATGTTTCTATGTTTCTAAACATTAGCCCATAGCTTTGTTACAACTTTCACTTGTTCTCTGTGCCCCCAAAGACTAAACGAGGAGGCAAGGCAGCTGAGTGAAGACTTCGGACTTGTTCTCCAAATACAATAAACCTGGGCACAAGGACAGGACCTGCAAGGACAGCTCAGTTCCCTGAGTTCTCCCTAGCTGCCAGTCTTTTAGAATGAGAATTTCATTGAATTAAGAAGAGTAAGAATATTCTTTCATAGATAGTGATTATGGGCAAATCATTCAAATCTCTAAGCTTCAGTTTCTCATACGGAAAACAGGAACAATACTTGAGAGAATAATTGGGGTATTAGGTAAGAGGACATGTGTCAAATGTGTTGGGACGTAATACACATTAGGTTTCTCTTCTATCTTGCCTTCAGCTGAAGATCAGTTTTTGATGGAAAAAAATTAACAAACAATCGTAACATAAAATAAAACTCCCTGTGATAGCATTCCAGGTAGGACTCGGATTTATTTCAACAGACTAACCTCTCACCAAGTGCCTCCAGTACTCCCCACGCCCACATACATTGTCCTCCTCCTTAGGCCACCAGCAACATTTCCCCCAGTCCTTTCCTATTCTGCTCCCTTCTCATTAGAAGTCTCTTCTCTTCCATCTGTCTGATGAACTCTTCACTAACCCACTCAACAAATAGGTACCAAGTCCCTACTATGTGCTACATGTTCTTCTAGGTGTTGAGTACCAGCAGCAATCCCCAAGGAGACTGTATTATACAACCTTTAACACTTTTTCCTATTTGTTTAATTACACTCTTGCTCTTCTATAGACACTTTTTGAAGCCCTGTGTCTTGGGAAAACTTGGATCAAGAAATGTATGCTCGATGAACAAATTAATAATATATAAACAAGGGGTGCCTGAGTGGCTCAGTCATTCAGCGTCTGCCTTTGGCTCAGGTCATGATCCCAGGTCCTGGGATCAGAGCCCCACATCAGACTCCCTGCTCACTGGGGAGCCTGCTACTCCCTCTCCCTC